TACAGCAACCAACAAGTAAACGAAAAGATGACGTGAACACACACACACACACACACACACACACACACACACACACACACACACGCACACACACATGCACACACACAACACACACACACACACACACACATACAGACGCGTGCGCGTGCACGGGCGATGACGCCAAGAAGATGCGTGAAATACCTACCATTGCCGAATTCGAATTACTGCCGCCACTGCTGCAAGGGCATCACAGAAAGATGTGTGCCCCTCGTGAGGGCATTTCAAGGACGGACCGACGAAATGCAACCAGTGGTCCAGTAAGGGCATGTCGGAAAGTTACGCACCATGCTGACAGGGGCCTGCGGAAAATTTCAGAGGCCCCAGGGGCATACAAGGGTAAGTCGGCCTTCACAGGGGCACGCCGCAAATAAACGCAAACTTCAGGGGCATGTCGGAAATTTCCCCAAAAAAAAAAGAGCAGCAAAAGAAAAAAAAGAAAAAAATGACAAAATGACTGAAGCGACAAAAGAATGACTCCCACGAGTCCCACACTCCTACCCAGGCAGCACTCAGGCGGCCAAGATGCCTGTGGCGCTTCCCTGGGGGCCTGCCAACCCAATGCCGGGCCCTTGAGGGCCTGCGTAGCAGGCCGATGAATGCTACACAGAGTGTGACGCGCACCGGCGGCAGAGGTGTTGCCGTCTCAGTACGCCGCGCGAAGTCGTGCCTGGGTGCAGAGAGAGAAGGAAGGGGGTTTAGTGGCGGCTTGTGCATGGGATGGCCACCGTCCAATGGACGTTCCTTGTACTGTGCTGGGTGGGGTAGGGGTTCTCTCTCAGAACCATGAGCTGAGGAGAGTAGTTGGTAAGGAAAATAGGGGTGGGAGGATGCAGAAAGATGGAAACAGGAGTAGGTCTATTAGAGTCAGGGATCAGCACCCACTACGAGTGTTTTTTTTTTTTTTTTTTTTTTTTTTTTACCAGGTGCAAGGAACATGAGTGTGAACTATATACAGAAAACCAAGTTGCGAAATCACACAGCTGTCCAGGTAGTCGTATCCAAGCAGAGAGTACAAAATGCACCGAGAAACCGTCCACATAGAACAATACAGTAATGAGCCCGTAGGCCACACCAACACAGTATCCGAAGTCGCTCCCCTCTGTCTGGCGCCCAGCGCCCAGCCTACTCTACCCGACTATCCTACCTACAGCTGGTTCACGCAACAGGCTCACTTCGACTCACGAAGACCAATGTACATGACTGTCAACACCATAGCCGACCTCTCTTCATGCACCAGGTACGTATCTCGTCACCCTCAGTCAGACCTTGGTTACTGCACACTCGCCTCCTTCGCTGAAGACCACTCGATCGCCCGCATTACCCCCTGGCGCCCAGCAGCCCGGCTATGGCCGCCTGCGCCCCGCTGCCCTGCAGCGCCCCACTTCACCGCTACGCTCCCCGTCAGCGCCCTTGGCAGCAGCGCAGCATCAAGCGATAGCGCAGCAGCACTTCCGCATTGCCAGCACTGGCCAAAATGCCTGGCCTAGGCTGCCTCACTTCCTTTATCGAAGTGGCAGCCTCCTGGATGCTGCGTGTGGCCTGGCTGGAAGCTTCCAGTAGCCTCCGGTTGGGCCTCAGACCCTGCGCCCAGGCCCGAGACTACAGTTGAGGGCCAGGGCCCCATTTACAGTTTGGGCACGGCCTGAGTCTCTGGACTTGGGCGGTTTGCTGCATCTGCGCAGGGCTCCCGGGTAGGTGTGTTGACAGTACTGCTTTTGCGTAGGCCGACGACCTGCTTCTCAATGTATCAGCCCTGTTTTGTGTGTATGCGCCCAGGCGCAACTGTCAAGGCCTTGGCCAACTGTACGATGCAGCTCAGTGAGGCTCACGCGTCCATTCAACCAACTGGCGTGCTGCAAGAGCCTGAATACCCACATATCAAAGTGTCGAATTTTGGCCTTTGACGAATATTGAGGCCCGCCTTCACTTAGGCCGGGCACTTGGCTTGCTGGGGGCCTTAGCCCAGAACTTGTGATGTCTGATAGGGCCCCTTGAGGGCTTGTTCCTCACACAGGGCGACAGCCTTGAGATATCACCTTTGAGCTGACCGGCATGCGGATACTTCCAGATCACATTCTTTTTCTTTTCTTTTTTCAGATCACATTCTAGATTCGAACTCAGGTCTCTATTTCAACAGTCCATGGGTGTACCAACTGATCTAGGTCCACTGCAGACAACTGAGGCAAGGCATACACGGTAATGTTCCCCTTCTTCGGACCACTATTCGTCCGGCGGGTTCGGGAACGCAGGAAGTGTCTTTTGGAATTTTTTGCCTCCCCTGAAGAGATCACTGCCAGGGGATCGCCGGCGGGCGATGACAATGTGTTGGGGCGTCGCGGATAGGGCGGTGGACCTGTGCCTTATATGTTTTTTTTTTTTTTAAACATCCTCACCGGTGTTAGTGGTGCTGATAAGAGCAGCCACCACTAGCACCTGGGAAGAGGCTCCATCAATTGGTGGGGAGCTTCACCTGCTGGAAAGCGGGTCCAGCGTCCCTTTTAACAGATTTAGTTTTGAATACATGACACTCCTGCCAGCATTGATTGCCCAGGAAACCCCGGGGATTAACTGCGCAGGGAGGGAGAGAACCTCTTCACCCAAAAACAGGCGCCAGATTCTTGCGATTGCATACTAGTTCCTCCCTTTCCCGCCCTGATAGACACTTCCCTTGTCATGTTGCTGTATTTCATAATTTTGATTTGACATGCTGATGGACAGTGTGCAAAGTTTCATCACCTCGAGGAGAAAGCTGGTAGTAATGCCTTAGATAGTATGTGCTTGCCTTTTGACTTTTGACTTTTGACGTTTGACTCCGACTTGGACATTTGACTTTGGAGTTGCTGATTTTTTACTCTGACTTGGACATTGAACTTGACTTTTTGACTTTTTTGACTTTTTGACTTTTTTGCCTCTTTGACTTTTTGACATTCCATTGCCTCTTTGACATTGTTTTGCCTTTTTGACTCTTCGGATTCTGACTTTTGACGCTTGACTTTTGACTTGTAACGTTGGCTTTGGCTTTTGATTTTAATTTCGCGCTTTTGACTTTTGACTTTTGACCCTTGATTACCGTTGTATCTGCTGAAAAGCCACCGAGTCGTAGCACATTTATAGCGGGCAAAAGCCAATCGCTCATAGTGCTGTGCCTCCCACTTATTACTCATCTCCCTGCACTTGCAACCGGACAGACAACATCACAAAGAAGGTGACGGTCACCAACTTCAAATTAGGCATTTGAAACTTCCAACTTCCGAAGGACAAATTTCGGTCATTAGCAGGCAGACAGCATTGCGTTTTTTTTTTTTTTTTTTCAATCTCATGTTCGTTATGTTCTCCTATCAAACTGCAAAAGAAGGCCATTACAATCTCCGCTGGCAAGACGACAGGATTCCAGAAACTTCGGTTTCTTCCAGAGTTTATTCCTCTGAAAGCCTCCTCTCAAAAGCAGAAAAGTGTTCTGACTCGTACGAAGAAAGAACAAATTAGAAGGTTCGGTAATAGATATGCATCTCTCTCTTCCTCCTGTACTTCCTTCCCTCCTTCCTCCCTCTCTCTTTCCCTCCCTCCCTCCCTCCCTGCCTATCTTTTTCTGCACTTCTTCCCTCTTCTTCTTCTTCTTCTTCTTCTTCTTCTTCTTCTTCTTCTTCGCTGTCCTCTTCGTTCTTCTTCTTTTTCTTCTTCTTCTTCGTTATCTTCTTCTTCTTCTTCCTCCTGCTCCTCCTCCTCCTCCTCCTCCTCCGCCTCCTCCTCCGGCGCCTCCTTTTCCTTTTCTTCTTCTTCTTCTTCTTCTTCTTCTTCTTCTTCGCCCTCTTCTTCTTCCTCCTCCTCCTCGTCCTCTCCTCCTCGTCCTCCTCCTCCTGCTCCTCCTCCTGCTCCTCCTGCTCCTCCTCCTGCTCCTCCTTTTCCTTCCCCCCCCCACCTGCTCCCATCCTCCCATGCCCTCTTCCTCCTCTTCCTCCTCTTCCTCCTCTTCCTCCTTCTCTTCCTCGTCTTCCTCCTTCTCTTCCTCCTCTTCCTCCTCTTCCTCCTCTTCCTCCTCTTCCTCGTCGTAAGGCACTGGATGCCAATCTGGGCTGTAGTTCTGTTGTCGTTGCATTCACGAGGTCTGACGGCCTCGTGAAACGAGAGAAGTGGTGAGTGCATCTTCGCAAAGAAGGTGGCAAGGTACATCCATTACTTTTCATAATAGCGGGCGTATCGTGCCACCTTCTGTTTGAAGATGCACTCACCGTTCCTCTCGTTTTGTGAGTGGTGTGGCAACGCCCTGAATTTGGGATAGATAAAAGTTTAACCCCAGTAAGTATGGCCTGGCTGCTACAGGCTGAAAACACACTATGACGCTGACCACATACAATGTCATGCTAATTCATTCCTAGCCAGGTCCTAGTCTCACTTTTCTGGACCAGGTTCATGGCATTTAGACATGGACAGTAGTCCACCATATGCTTCATGGGCCAAGAGGGGTTCGCTGGGATATGGCATTACATCCTACACTACCACCTTCCTCAGAACACAATGCACCTAAGCTTCATCCTGACTGCATCAGACCTGAAAGATAGCTTGTATACATTCATCGTGATGGTGCAGATGTAATGTAGACCAGGTTCACAGTCTGTTGGACCAGGTTCACACTGCATTGGACCAGTTCACAATGTTTCGGTTCACACTGCATTCAAGCAGGTTTGGCTGGCACTGTGTTAGACCAGGTTCCGCTGACACTGCGTTAGACCGGGTTTGGTACCGGTTTATTTTGGGAGAGCCATAGTAACTACGTGCGGGGGAGAGAGTAACCCGTAAGAGAGTAACTCGTAACTCTCTTTTTTTTTTTTTTTTTTTTTTTATAGTCGTCAGGCTCATAATCTGAATGTTGTAGGTTGAAATCCTACTCCCGCCAATCTCTACTGGATGGAGAGTGAGGCTTTTGTGTGTGTGTGTGGAAAAGAGCGGAAAAGGCTCGCCGCGAGCTATTTGCAATGAGTTTTTTCTCAATGTTTAAAAAAGAAATTCTAATTTCAAACTGATTTTTCCGATTGATTAGGTGTAGTCTGTATAGATAAGATAAGGCGACCGACAAACGGAACGCCCTGACCGACGGGCGTGCCGCCTTAGGTTCTATCAGTCTAATGATATGATATAAAACAAAAGTGAGAAGTAGCGTACGGCCCTGATATATCCAAAATAAATTAAAATAATTCATTAGGGTGGATGCCTTGGCATTGAGAACGAAAGGAGACCAGGCTCACACTGAATAAGACCAGGTTCACACTGAATAAGACCAGGTTCACACTGAACAAGACCAGGTTTAAAGTTTACACTGAGTTGGCAGGTTGGTGCAGAATATGAATAGGACATAGTACGTACCGCTCCGATGAAGAAAATGCCTGAAGGTGATCCTGCAAGGAGGGGGGGGAGAAAAAGAAAATGACACAAAGCGCAAAAAAAGGTAAGTCTGTAATTTTTGGAAACGACTTCAATAAAGATTATGGCAGCAGCTCAGTTGGTACACCCATGAACTGTTGAAATATGAATCAGACTCAAGTTCGAGTCCAGGTACAATCAGATGACCAGAACAATATCATTCTAAATTACCCGGGCCCGCTCAGTTCTATAATGAAAAAGATAAAGAGGCTTAAGCCCAGCCACAACATGGAAAAAAAAAACTTTAAAAAACAAATCAAGGGCGACCAAGGGAAGTTATAATAGGACCAAAAAAAAAAAAAAAAAAAAAAAAAAAAA